GGATATGAGATTGGTTATAGCCAACTCGGCCCTACGGGCCTCATTGGCTATTTACCATCTCATATCCAACGCACGCTCATGGAATAATTGTTAAATAATTAAAATTAATCCATATGTGTAGTTAATATTAAAACGGAGTTTTCTAATGTCATTTGTCTTTGGATTTCCATTAATATATAGATTTAGGCCAGCCTAAAAGCGTAGCTCCTGGGCCGCGTTGTTCAGAGCCCGATTAAGCTAACCCAGGAAAAGGTAGAATTTTGATTTGAGTTTTGTAACTTTGCAGTGACGTTTTCTGTATATTGTTTGGCCTTCTGTTTTGAGTTTTAATAATCACCATATACACAAAACAAGGGAGCAAAAAAAAATTGTGTAGAACAAGAAGTTATAATTCAGTTAACTTTTTATCCTGGGTTAGTGTTAACCCGCTTCCAAACAATCCTACCCTGTTTTTAACAAGTTAACCTGACATGAGCCTGCGATCCAATCAAAAACCAGCACTTGGTCAGCGGTCAAATTCGAAAAAACATGTGACCTCAATGAGCTATAAACTTGAGCCTACGATATGGTCACGTGATACTGTTCAGTGGATACCTTGTTTCGACAGGTGTCAATTGATCATAACATGGATGTCCAATATCAAAGAAGTACATGATAAACCAAGGCTCTCAACCTATGATACTGGAGTATGGCCGCCATGTTGCATGACTCTGTCGTCACCGTCATCGCCATCATGCGTATGTGCCCACGAGCAATACCGCTATCCATGATAACCATGAAAAAATCAACTCAAGGGTTTCCTTTTCTTGCCTATATGAGTATGGGGCTCAGCTTGGGGGCCCTTTGGGCCACCTGAACTCCGCTAAAAAGCACTTTTGTGAAAGTGTATCTCCAACAGATGGTTCAGTTCTGTTCCACGGACGAGTTGCACTGGAATGAAAAGGCCTGAGGCCTGAATTTTTCTTATACTTTGGCATAATAAGATCAACAGCAATTTAGCAACATTCAAGGAATTTTTGTCTGTAGAAACACATGTAAATCATAAAATCTGTATCATATATTAAGTAGTCTAGGGGACACAAAACACAGGCCCATCTTATTGTACTTACCCCTTTAAATCTCTCAGGTGACTGAACAATCTTGGCTTTTAGGCTTTCACAATCTTGCTTCAGCGCTGCCAAGTTTACTTTCACCTCAGCCTGGAATATATTACATAAACTCATTGTCACTAGCAAACAAAAGAACATTTTTTGGCCAACAAAAAATATGCCATTCTCTTTTATATTATTAAATGAGTTCCCCATCACCCCAGTTCACTCACTGGGTGTGTCCGCCAACCGCCCAAGGGTTTCTGCCCTCATTCATTATCTCTGGGTGTGTCCGCCAACCACCCAAGTTTCTGCTTCAATGGGATTTGTGTCCGCTAACTGCCCCACTTTGTGTTGTGCTTTGGGGTTTGAATCCGCTAACCGCCCCACTTTGTTTGCAGGGTGTGTCCGCTAACCACCCAATTACCTGTCCAGGGTGTATCGCTACCACCCACTCTTGTTGCTATCCTAGGGAGCACCCAGTGTCCATAGTCCCATTTACTGCCAGATTTGTCTTGTTTTTATTCATGCAATTAGAGAGCGAATTGTTAACTTTTATATTATTATACATGTAAGGGGTCTCATTGTAATGTTAATCATACCTAATTATCAAATAAATAAAATACACGCAGGTGGCAGCAAATGATGAAAGTCCAACCTTTTTAGAACTTAGTTCAGCATTGTAGGTCTTCAGTTGTTGAAAGTTTTTCACTTCTGTAGCCTAATAACATTTGGAAAAAATTACAGTGTCAATAAAAGATCTTTGATATAGGGTACATGCAAGAGACATGTAAACATGTACAGTTAAGAGTAATTGCCACTAAAAATCAAAGAAATCGTGGCCACGGTCGAAAAATCGATTTTGCTCATAATTTGCCAGTTTGAAGGCCTAGGTAAGTAACTGAAGGAAATCAAGTTAGTTTTTTGAAATATCCAATATAACGGCAGAAATTCACGAAAAACGGTTATCGCACCGAAAGCTTAGATTTCACTTCGCGGTAATCCGAAATTTTACACTTTTCAGCTTTTTGCTACACAGTCGTTTACATCACTGTGAAACGTTCTCAACTTTAAATGTATACATTGATTCTTCCTTAATCACGAGATAGTGATTATTTTTATTTCTTGTGTTTTCTGGCCGAACTGAGCCCCGATTAAGTAGACATACTTTTCTAATTAAAACAAAACTCAAAAGTTATGCAAATTCAGTGAGGAAAAAAGTTGACCGGTAGTGCTTCAAATCGTCTGATATTCTAACAAAGGACAGTTCAGTCGATGAATTTTAGGCTTACGGATTNATTTCTGCCGTTATATTGGATATTTCAAAAAACTAACTTGATTTCCTTCAGTTACTTACCTAGGCCTTCAAACTGGCAAAGTATGAGCAAAATCAATTTTTCGACCGTGGCCACATTTTTAGAATTTTCTTTGATTTTTACTGACATTTACTCTTAAAAGTTCCAAATTGTAGAAGCCTTTTGTACTGACCTGTTGTTTGTTGAGTTCACTGACACTATTCTGCAATTCTTGGACTTCACTATCAAGCTATTGATCAGAAGCAAATAAGTTATGACATTTTCTGTGATAAACATACATGATATTCTTATGTATGTGCAGGTCATTTATCAGTATTGTCAACATATCATGCAGTTTTATTGTTGGCTGATAATTTAAATTTGAAGTTTAAATGATTTTACGTTGTACATGTAAATAGTTTACTGTCATCTAATAGCGGCATTGTTTCTGGTTGCCCCAACAATTCAAGTTTAAACGCTAGTTTTCGGTAACATAGGCATAGGCAATGTAAGGAAGGTCCCTACACTATTCCGCCACACACTTGAGCAAAGGGAAAATATATATTTTTATTATTATAGAATTAATCACTGGGATTACGTACATGTATTATGTGATTAGTGTACATCCTACATGTACAAAAAAGTTATTTTTTTATCAGCTTATCAATATCATACTGCTGTTCAGTCCCATACCTTCTGCACTTGTTGCTCCTCCTCTGCTCTTTTTGCTCTGTAAATATCAGCAAAGATAATAACTGTATACAGTTTTATCATATCTTACAGATACTGTTTGGTCTGCGATTGGTGAATTTAGCAGGCCATAATCTATTGTACAGCCTGCTTGAAATTGAAGCTGTTCTTGTTGCCAAAAATGTCAAGCTTTCTTGACATTGATGGTAGAGAAACGTGCAAGCCTTTTCATTTTCTTAAAATTCTGACAGAACATACATACATACATGTGCATTGTACATTGCCTGCAACATGCAATTACTTTTTAAATTGATGTACAATCATGTATTTATTTCATGTACCAATAATTAAATAGAAATAATAGACAGTAATTAAAACAGTAATTATTTTACCTGAGTTCCAATATTTTCTGCTGGAGTTCTTTATTTCGTGCAATCAACTGCTGACGTTGTTCAGTAGCTGTGTCCTGTATTTAGTGAAATAATTTAAAATAAATTAAAAAGTACTATCAAATTTCTAGTTAAAATATGTAAAATGTCAAATTGAATCATTTTCCCTCAAGTAAATTTCTTCGATTTAATGCTCTACACGAACAATTGCCATAACACTAGAACCTAACCAAGGTTGCCATTTAAAACAAGGCACAACACCTCCTCCCCCCTCTATTGAACATGTACAACTTGTAAAGAGTAAGATAAGACTTCATCCAATGTGTGTGTTCCCAAGAAAATAAGCAGTGTTTCAGCCAGAAAAATTTAACTTGAGGGCCAAAGTGGCCCCTGAAGATCTTTTTTAGGGGCCAATTTTTAACTGATGACGTATTGTGTGACGTCATCGCTTTGTGCTGGCATGCATGCATTCCTTTGGATAGTGATTTCGCATAGTTTGTCGCACTTATGTCCGTGCGCTTATGTCATGCACGATTTATCCCCTTGTGGAAGCGAAATGCACTCTGGGAGTCCCTTTGCTGCTTTCCTTTGCTGTTTGTAGGTTCAGCAGAGTGCATTTAATTGTAGCTTTTAAAAGAAGATTTAGGGGTGGATTTTGGTTTAAACAGTATCGGATAAATTTGCGTTCACGGGCAAACTCATAATAAGAACATATCCTCCATACATACAAGTTTGGATAGACAAGTAAGTTGCACAGGTGATAGGTGAAGGCTTTGCAGCTTTCCTTTGCTGTTTGTAGGATCAGCAGACTGCTTTTACTCAATATGACAAGTATACAGTTAAAACAACAAATTAATTTCCGGTGAGGTAAGTAGTGTGGCCAAATATTTTTAGAGATAATAAGGTGTCGATTTCAGAGAGAGTAACATTCCTTTGCGGCTTTCCTTTGCTGTTTGTACGATCAGCGGAGTGCTTTTAATTTCAGCTTTTAAACGAAGATTTGGGGGTTGATTTTGGTTTATACAGTGTCGGATAAGTTTGCACTCACTGGCAAACTCGTGATAAGAACATATTGTCCATATATACAAATTTAGATAGACAAGCAAGTCGCACATGCGACAGCTGAAGGGTCTACATAAAATTTACGGATTGGTAGTGCAGTTGTACTTTTGCCAGTCTTGAAGTGAATTGAATGAGCATTGTATGAACACTGAAATATACAGTTTACAGTAGTGATAATAAAGTCAGGGTAAGATTCATTTGCAGTTTTCAGTTTTTTATGAAGTTTTGGAAATGTGCTGTTTTATATTTTCTGTCAAAAAAAGAGTGGTTGTGATTAAACAATTGATAATTATTATTGTTTTGTCAGGGTAAAGACAATATGATTGTTCATTGATGACAAGTATACGGTTAACAACAAATTAATTTTCTGTGAGGTAATTAGCGTTGCCAAATATCTTTAAAGATTATAAGGTGTCGATTTCAGAGAGAGAAACTTGTATTTTGTGGCTTTCCTTTGCTGTTTGTAGGATCAGTGGAGTGCTTTTAATTTCAGCTTTTAAACGAAGATTTGAGGGTGGATTTTGGTTTATACAAAGTCGGATAAATTTACACTCACAGACAAACTCATAATAACATATCTTTGATACATACAATTTTAGATAGACAAGCGGGTTGCACACGAAATTTGACAAGTCAAGAGAAAATGATTTTCTCTTGGACAAGTATATGGTTAAAACAACAAATTAATTTCCGGTGAGGTAATTAGCTTTGCCAAATATCTTTAAAGATAATAAGGTGTTGATTTCAGAGAGAGGAACTTTTCAGCGGAGTGCTTTTTATTTGGGTTGGTACATTTTGCTGACCCCTAACACATGTACTAACAAGATGGACCTGGTACATGAACTACTTGAATGAACCACCAATGGACTACCCTAAATGTACATGTAAACCCCTAAAATTTCTAACCCAAAAGTTTAAGAATCAGTTTGTCTGCTCATGTTCCAATCTTCTAGGAACAATTGTTAAACATCATCACTTCTGCATGCGTTGCATGCCGTTTATTTAGGAAAGGGGCCAATAAATTGAAAGCTACAGAAGGAAAACATGTATCAGGGTACCAAGGCAAATAAAGCAGTTTATTAGGATCTATGATAAAATTTAATAGTAACTGCTTTTTGAAGTGTTTCTACTCAATAAAGTATCTTTTGAATCAGACACTAGTATGAAGGATCCGTGCATTACAAGGCGATTTCAAACGGTCAGCCATTTTGAAGTTTTCGATGTGAGAGAATCAACACAGCAAAGCAAAAAGATGGATTGACTTCTTTTCTCATGTTGAATGTTTTAGAAGCAAGGATCTTTCAATATGATTTTCTAGAAGGACATAATCTGTGACAAAATAACCGCTATTGATCGTCAACACAGAGAACTGTAGTCGCCATTATGCTGTATTATGGCGACTAAACCAGAATTTTTGGTCGCCAAGGATGAAATGCTTGTTGCATTGGCGACCGTATTGATCACAATTTCGAGCCCTGGGATGGCTTTTAAAATATTATGTCTGTGTTAAGCCTGCAGTCTTGTAAAAGGAAATGGCCAAATTGGCCCTTTTTTCCAATTTTCTGGGGGCCATCTCTGATTGTAATGCCGGATTCCCACAATGGCATGCTCTGGCGAAAACACTGATAAGGAACAAAATAATGACTCGAACACTCACCACTTCTGCAATTGCATTTTCATAAATGTGTTCCCGTGAAGCCTTGAATTTTGTGAAGTTTACAATAGCACTAAAAAATATTAAAATGCATGGAGCATATGAGTCTACATGTGTGTGCACAATTTGTATGTACCTGAAAGGATGTAAAAACTAACCACTGGGACACAGCAGGGCTGTCATTAAGGGCCGTAACCCGTAACACCTGCTATGCCTGAGTATGTTTGATGGGCTCTTGATGTTAAGGGTGAACTGGACTATAGTCGACACAATTCACCTAAAAGGTAACAACTTGAGTTTGTTATGGGTGTGAAGATTAATGCTACAGTTGACTCAAAACTTAATGAAAGCAGACCTGTAAAAGTGTCTCTTGAGCCATTGATAATAGAAAAAAGTGTTGTCTGGGTATTATGCCCCACAGCAATCCTGTTTGTAATATATGCTTGCACATGTTTAGTGTAAAACAAGACTTTGTCAGTCATGCCCAAATTTTGGTCAGCCATTGTTTCATTGACCTGAGTTGTTACATGACTTTTGTACACTGTATTGCAGTTCTGCATCTTTTAAAAATTTACTTGAAAGCACATTCCCTTGAATATTATATATAGGCAATAATTATTGTAAGAAGTCTAGTGTGGCGTGACCTACCTTATACAATGTAGAGTACGCTTTGGTTCTGAAAGTAAAGAAACGGTATCAAGAGACTGACCTAACTGGTGTGTTTGAGTAAAGTACATTCATAAGAACAATAAGTCACTAAAATATATATTCTCTAATGCAAAGATTACAGTGTGTAACTTACAAAATGTACACATATGCTCGTCTATAAAAGTGCCTAATAAACAAGGTTGATTTACATTGTGCTAGAACATTAGTGTATGCAATCGCCGGCATGTGAAGTGTACATAAGGGTACATGTATATATGGTATACATGAATTACATAAATTATTAATTTTGAGGTATTACACAAAGCAGTGTTGAATTGTTTTTTTTTTTTTTCAAGAGTTACATGTAGCTCAGCTATCTGTCTGGCAGATGCCTCTGCTTGTACATGCATGAAAGTATTACACATCCACACCACACATCTTTATAATAGCCACCTGCACTCTCTAAAATGATCACAGATTTTTATTCTGACTTTTCACAAGGGTTTCAAAAGGGCCGGGCACTGGGTAAATTGACCAGCTGAGAGGATGATTTTGCCCACCTGGTTTGACCAGTATGTAAGGTGCAGTTGAATATTTTTATATAAACTGATCCATTCAACCAAAATTTCTGGAAATTTCTCGCTGAAAGTGAATGGATCAGCTCGGTCCAACCGGAAAAGTTTCAAAAAAATCGGTCCACCTTTTGGACCACTTTTCTTGGTTGGACCGGTCCGATTGTCATTTGAAAGTGGTGTTTGAACTAATACAGCAAATATCTGGGAACGGTTTCCTCAAAATAACCCATTATACTGGTTAAATTCCTATGCATGAAACAGCTCACACAATATAATTGATATCACTGTCAAAATCATCATCTACAGCTGTAGCTCTAATACGAGCAACAGTGATCCAACACCTCCATTTTAAATGAGCGCAAAGCTCGTTTTGCAAGTGGAATGGAATGAGATCGTTTGGACCCGTCGCGATCCATTCGACGCCAAGAAATTTCAAACCTTAGCCCAGAAATTTTAGTTGAATGGATCGTGCCCATTAATGACTATTATTATTAATTATTACTAAGTTCAGTTTATTTGTTCAAATGCTTTGCCTGCCTGTGAAAACCAGTAGTCCTCCTGCTGAAAATGTCAGTGCACCTTTGGAATTATTCATCGATCAATTGCTGCTCTTATATTGAAATATTTGTTTGTATCACTACAATGCTGTAACAATGGCCACTACTCTACAAGGGACAGTTTATTTTAGTCCATGGCTGTTGTTGAGAGGTTGAAAATTGCATTTGTTGTGAATAATTATGCAATCATGACTTACTTGGTGCAACAATGTCAAAAATGCTGAAATTTTCTATACCACAAGCAAACATGAATCTTTGCCTAAAAGAAACAAAATTAATACAATATGAAGAAGTGAAGTATTGCTTAGTGACAGTTGCATTTGTATCTCACTCCCATGTATAAAACATCACATTGAGTCAATTGTTTCCGGTGTTAGCTCTTGTTTTCTTGCTTACTGGCACATGAATGTGGGAACTGATTAACAATGCTGTTGCCTGGCTTTTAAATCACTACCAACAATCAATCAATATATGAATAAATCTTTATTTAAACATGATACCTTATCATAAAAATGGTCTCCCTAAGAATCGTGTGAAAAATAATATTACACAAAGAATACATGAACTATATATTAACAGGAATACATTTACATAAACAAAGGAACTACTTAACTGAAACAAAGTGTACAATAAAAACCTATATTATTAAAACGTTTTCTAATTTATAGTGCACTAAAAATAATCTTTCCTATTCAATAAGGTTTTAAACACTTTTCTAAAAACTAGGCAGGTGTCTGATTTCCAAGAGAATCTTGTTCCACAGAACAGATCCTCTGTAGTGTAGGCTCCCTTTTGCATATTAGTTCATGTATCTGACTGGATTTATTTATTATGGGTGTCTAGAATACTAAGATTAAGACCTACATGTACATGTAGATGTCGCTACATTGTTGTCTGTGCACAGTAGAAAATATGCTACAGATAATCAATACTCACATGGCTAATGCCAGAATAATCAATGGAGCACTGTCTTCATGAAGTTCTGGGTGTTCAAAGGCATCCATGGACTTGAACTGAGGCTGTTTGCCAAACGAGCGAAGTACGGTACATTTAGTTGCGTCACAGCTTTGAACCACCCCCTTAACCCATTATAAGTAAACTTGTGAACAAGAGTGTACAGTGGTCAAGCTACATCTATGAGTACAGTCGAACCTTGATTATCCGTACCTTGGTTATCCAGATTTCTCGATTATCCGGACTTTTTCTCTAGTCCCAATTTTGTCATGAATATTTATTAGTCATGATCAAGATCCGTAGCAATATTCTTTTTAAAACTATAGCYTTGAAAAGTGCAGTCAAAAGCGAGTTTGTTTTGCTTTTAAAGAGCAAAAGCAGTGCTCACATACGTCGTAACTAATGAAGAACACTCAAATGAGTTCTGATTGGCTCAGAGTTGAGTGGTTCAAGATGTACAGTAGACCATATTGTTTTCCAAATGATTTGTAGAAGTGTTGCTTCATGATTAAATGTTGCTTTATTTAAGCAGTTTTGTTCTTCATAAATAAAATTATATTCATATTTTCGATTATCCAGACCCTCGATTATCCAGACTATTTCGTCTAGTCCCAACGAGTCCAGATAATCGAGGTTCGACAGTATTTTCTTCTGTCTCCCTGTAGTAAAGGGCAGTAAATATGTGAAGTCAGAAGAGGTGCTGTGTTGTATCGTTAGCATGCTAGAGTAGGCCCTGGATTTACAACAGCAATCTGGATTTGAGCCCTACACTAGCTTACCAAGGGTCATAGACCCTTTGCATAAATGGCACCAATATTTGAATAACAATACTTGTACATCCTAAGCCTCACATTCATGCAAAAAATCCTTTGTCTGGAAACATAAGTACGAGGCTATAAGGATGCACAAAGTATTGTTAGTCAAACTCAGGTGCCGCGTATACAAAGGGTCTACTGTGTTATGTTCTTGGGCAAGACATTTCACTCTACAGTACCTCTTATTTGCATACTTTAGTCACTGTGGTGCATTATACAGCTGAGGCATACATGTAACCCAGCACTTTCCCTGCAAGCAGAGGCTCTTTTCCTGGTGTTCGCTGAAGGGAGAAAAGAGCAGACACCAGGAAAAGCAGAACACCATCTTAACACCAGGAAAAGAGCCTTCTGTCAGTGAACACCTGGAAAAGAGCCTCTGCTAGCAGGGAACCCAGCACTGGACAAGCAACTCATACCAGGGAGGGAGTACATTGTATGAAATGCACCTATGTATTATGTAGCTATTTAGCACCTTCTGCTACATGTATGGGATAAGCAGGAAATGATTATAAATCAGTAGCAATTTTTCCCACGACCCAATTAACGTCATTCAAGATATTAATCCTAGGCAATCTCTGTTAAATTTACCTGAGTGAGTAGCTCAGGACAAACACCAAAGTTTGAAAGCACTCCAATGTAGAAACGTTTCATCTGCTGAAACTGAAACATTGAAAGGCTTAACATTATTAACACGCCAATGGAAGAAAGTTCAAGCTTAATTATAATCTGTACTGAATCCTAATAAATAAACTTATTTAGTGTAGCTGATCGAACACAAATATTGTCAAAACGTGAAGCATGACCGGTGCACACAGAGGCTTAGCTTTTCTAACTCATGAACATTCAATTATGTAGCTTTTGGTTTTTATTTGAATTCCTACAAACGGATTTACCAGCTAAGCAATAAAGAACTTGTAGTTAAAAGCTTGTAATCTACACTAATGAACTGTTCCACGAGAGCAAAAAACAAAATCTAAACTGTTCACCATACCTGCGGTCGCATAAGATCATCGATACTTAATGCAACTTGTGATCCAAACATTGACTTGCAATTTGCCACAGCTTCTTCGCTTGTTAAACTGGGAAATCGGAACTTGTTATGTTCGGAAGCCATGGCGAACTCACTGAAAGAAAATAAAATGGCGGACAGTGCGTTTCTCGTTCAAACTGATCCGCTCTTCCTATCGGACATTTTGATTGGCTCCTCCGTTCTGACGTTGAGGAGAAGACACTGGGAACGAGGCTGCCTGGCTGCGTGACGACAATCGCGCGTTTCGAGAAAGAGGTATTCACGCGTGTCACCCTTGCGTGGCTCGCGAGCGATTACGAGTTTCGTGCGTGAAGACTAATGTTGTCTTTATTTTGTAACGCAACCAAGAAAACCACGGGAACTTGCGAATCGGCCAGTGAAAAGTGGAACTGACTGAAGTTAAATGATGCCACTAAAAAAAACTTTCAAACGTTTTTCAAGATAAAATGTAGCGTTGTTTCGACCTTTTTGTGAAAACAAAAAGAAGTCTGGACCAAGTCAGTAATCATGTATTTTTCTTACTTGTATCTTTTTGCAGGGCTAATATAGGAAGTCACTATATTTTATTGACACGAGCAAAAAGTTCATCATAATTGAGATATTTCTTTACATTTCAATTCTCTTTGCCAAGGAATCAGTCAACGAGAACACCTCTTAACACTGTTTATAATCCAGGAAAATTACTATTTCCCTATATAGGACGTGATATTAAAAATGTCACTGACACCTTAAAAGGAAACAGCTTACTTGGTAGGCGTGTGGGCGCGTCAGCGTGTGTCACGCACGCGAAAAAAAATTTTCCGGTCACGTTAGCTTCGGAATCCCCCACCCACGTAATTTATTATTACCATCTATAAAGGCTTAGTACATGCAAGTTTGCTTCAGGCAACACAGAAAGAAGTCAGCTGCTTTGCAATTTAACTTGCACATCACTGATTGAAAGTTATCAAAGGTCACTCAGATGTTTAGAGAGACTTTGTTAAACCTTCATTTACCGCATAATTCAACCTAATATTGTTTGTTTGAAAATCATTCCTGTGCAACGAAACGTAAGGCCAAGGGCATTTTCCCTGTTTTCACGGAACAAACGGTTCTTGGAATATAAATTGTGTCATCGTATCTTCATATAACAAAGCCGTGTGAACAGCTACACTCTACGACAAATAACGTTCAATCGTCACAGAGGAAGGACATCTAGCCACATAGGAAAGAGTCACGATGAACAGGTAACATGCTACATTAGAGGTCATTAGACTGCTTCCAGTGTCTACACTAAAATTTTACTTTCATGGATTTATAAGCTTAACGTCAAAAAATTTTCACGACACATTTGATAGACTAGTACTCGGGAGTATTGATCAGTCAAATACTATCTAGAACTGGGGGTGTATCTCACGATAACCTTTAGCCATCAAATTTAAGAGAGGATCGAGATCCTAACCTCTCAGACCTGTCTTGTCAATTACATTGTAAGCACCATGAATTAGTATGTTATCTTCTATAAATGTTATCGCCGATAGAAAATAGAAAAAAAAAAAAAACACAGTGAAATGTCACAGCCTGTCGTAGGGTATTTAACTTCATAGATCCTACATAGAAGATGTAATTTCGTTCAAACCCCTCTCCAGTTGTATAACTCTCACGTATTGACTAGATTTACTCCCATGAAAACATACTATACTATACTATAATTTGTTGCAGCTGCTTGTTGTTCGTATGTCTTTTAACATCTGTCCTGAGTGACATACTGGACAGCAACGAAAAGGTGATTCAAGTGGACAGCTTTCTTGCGAATGTCAACTTCAGTGAGCCAAAAGTGTTTTACGTGAGAAATAACCTGGATGTAAGTTACTGTTATGATTTTAATCAAAGTCTTAATTTCCATGTTGTTTCCGCGGTAAAGCATCGGTCTATCATAGTTATGTCTTGATAATGTAGTAATGCACGATCCCTGCCATATAACCTGAAATTAATCCGTGTTGATAGAGTGAGCCAGTTCGTGCACCTATGAGTGAAAATGGATTTGAGTGAAGTGGTGGGCGGGGGTGATCAATCAGTCGGTCATTCAATCAGCCAGTCAATTGATCAGTCAGCCAGTCCTTCGTCAATCGATCAGTCAGTCAGTCTGTTAGTCAGTTAGTCAGTCAATCAGTCAGTCAGTCAGTGTTAGTGCTGTCAGTCAAGAACGCATCTCGCAATTAAGTGCCCCGTTCCTCCAGCGAACTAATCTGATTCCAAATAAGTAAACACGAGAAACAATTTCTTGATTTCCCAAATATTTCAGGGTGATATAGAGTTCAAAGAAAGCGAAAATGCTTCCTTGTCGGTGCATATATCTGCGCAAGAAGAAGAGTTTGAACGCGTTAAAGTGGAATATAATCTTCTTAATGAAGCGTCGATTGTGGACATTCAAGTGGTAAGCTATACCATATTTTGTATGCGAATCACCTCAGACTGCGCTAACTGGCTTGCCTGGTATCAGTTTAGCAACGAAACATACAACCCTTTTGTAAGGGTATGCTCTGGCGTGACTGACTTCTCTGACTTTTCTTGCCGTGAAACATCAAATGAATGTTTGATTCCTTTATATGAAGCATGTTCTGCTATAATTGAATAGGCTGGAGCTCAAATCAGTCATTATTCATGAATCGCGTGATTATTCAATTAAGAGCCACCTGTGAAAATCATAAGCTGGATAAAACGTAACATAACCATTTTAAAATGTGATTTTCAACTTCACTTTTTCAACCCTCATGTGTGCGCATTTCGTTAGATTTCAATACATGGTCACTACTGAATAGCTCGCGCTTGTGTCCGCAGTACATTGTACCCGAAACAACAACTAACTGGCCGTTGATAGGAGGACTCGGCGGGGCTGGTGCCGTTGTGGCAGTCATCATCATTATCGTCATTATATGCGTATGCAGGAAGCGACGAAAAAAGCAACAGCTCGAGTTCGCGGCAAGAGAACAGGAAATAGAGATGAAAGATCGTGGGAAAGCTGTGGCTGGTGAGTTCTTTCTTGAATGCTATAACACAAGTCAATGCGGCTGACGATTTTTTTTTTTTTTTTTTTTTTGCACCCTTGATACCTAAGATATCTGCGAAGTTGTGCTTCAGCGACTCGAACATACCACCGTTATGTACAAAGAGAGCAAGTGAGTAACTAAGAATGCTTCGGTGTTAGGTTCTAACAACGGTGAATTAGATAAATCTACTGGTGCGTTCAATCACGAATCCCGTTTTCGGCTTTATATCGGCTAAGCTACTCACAACCCATTCTGTTGTCGATAGTGAGTGGTCTAGATGGGGTGTGGTTGTTAACAACGGCAGCTTCTTTTCGTTTTCGAATTGTCTGGATAGATTTAAGTCAGGTGTATTGTGTATATGTTTTTTTTTTCAAGTCATTTCCGTCTCATAGTTACTTTTTGTTTTATATTCTTCTCCATAAAGAAAGAGTTGTAATATTCGAAAAGCCACAGAGTGAGGAGGGAAATGTACCCGATGAAAACGACGCCAAAAGCTCCGCCCGGCCAAGAAATCGAACCACCTTAATTGAAAGTAAGTTCTTAGTTTACTGACCTGGATTGACTTGAAAAGTAATTCTGTGTTTGCATGCTTTAGGCTGAGTGCTTGCCACTGAGGCTTACACTTTCCCTAATTCAGTTCGTGCGCCCAAAGTGTACTCACATGACTGTTAATCATTTCAGCCTTTCGGACAGTTATGTAAGAAACAAAGCGAATACGGTTGGTGTGACGATCGACGTTGGTGGAAGAAAACCCCCAAACTTTGTCTTGTTTCCGGATTAGCCTAAATCACATTGAGTGTAACAAGAAAAGCTAACTTAAAAGACGCTGTCACTTCGACGCATCTTAGTAGTGTAGCTCATTTAATCATTTTTTTGTTTTTTGAACATTTTTGTTCCACAACTCATTTTCTTACCTTCTCGTTATCAAAGAAAAAATTGCCACTTTCGAGAGGCTAAAACTAGAAGACGGAGCCGCCGAAAAAGGAGAAGAAAAAACTGAGAAGGCTGAGAAGACTGTAAAGGAAGTAAAGGAGAACAGAAGTCAAAGTTATCTTCAAGTGACAGGTGATAAAATCTGAAAGTCATGCATGTGATTGAACAAGCCCGAGTTTATTAGACAGGTTGCTAAGCAACATAAATTGTAACGAGGAATAAAACACAAATAGCGGTGATAAACATATTAAACTTACGCATTTTAATAACTTGACGTTTCGTATGCTACGCAACATACATTTTCAAAA